GTAAGTGTGTACATGTCTCAACAATGCTTATTTGTGAACTGTGCTGTAAAGCAGTCGTACGTATACAGCACACTCTCTCCCTCTATCCTCTCCAGGTAATCTCGTACGGGGGCACCCCGGGCGGAGATGAAAAGGGAGAACCGCTCGACTATTTCGCCTACTACGACGAGGGGGTCGTGGTCCCTGACCGACGCGGTAAGGGGAGAGGCGAGGCCGTTGGGACCACGGAATCCACCAAGAAAGGAACAGGAGGAGTAGGAGATGGCGAGAAAGAGGCCGAAAATAAAAACGTGGACCTCGCTTCAGGTATGTGGGGGTTGCCTTTGTGTTGTGTGTGTTGTGTAACCCCAATCGTCATCTCCCCGTGTCGAAACGTCATTTGTACCTCCATGAACCCTTCGCCACTTTGGCCTTTCTACTTCAAAAGGGCTGTAAAGAACACGGTTGTTAATTATTTCGCTTCCTCGTGTATAATTGTACGTGTACTGCGTTTCGATCCGTTTCAGAGGGTAACGAGCAAAATTTGGAAGTTGGTGAACAATCTGGAGGAGGAGGAGGAGGAGGAACGAAAAGAAAGTTGGACTTGGAAGTGAGTTTGTGTCGATTTACTTACTAGAACTGCCTTCTCAGAAGGAACAGCGAGGTGTCTGGATGTTCACGATTACTCACCTGTCTTACAGGAGGCGGAAGAGGGTGAGTTCCAATTAATGCCCACTTCCACCGCTACCCAGAGCCCAGACGGAGTCTCTCCTCCAAAGAAGATTCCCCGGGGCCCGTTGCCACGGAGCGTTGTTTGGGGTGTGCCTGACGACAAACCCAAAAAGCAACGCAGTAAGTTCTTCACTGCAGCAGTACATTCGGTGTGAGCAATGTACATATACATAGTGTATACAAGTATACACATCACTTATGGTCATTTCTCTCCGTCTTCTATTGTGAGTTTTTTGTACTTATTGTCAAGTGTGCTTTTTTTTACGGTTGTGTACATTTTTTTCCAGGTTCTCCGATAATTAGCTCGGTAAGACAGGAGCAACAAGCTATGAGGGTGAGTGTTTGTAGCATAAGTATAAAGAGAAAAGTTAAACAATCTGGCCTTTTACGAATCTTATTCCTCTCTCTCTTTCCCTCTTTCTCTCTCTCTTTCTTCCCTCCCTCCCTCCCTCCTCTCTTCCCTCCCTCCCTCTTCCCTCCCTCCCTCCCTCCCTCCCTCCTCTCCTCCCTCCTCCCTCCTCCCTCCCTCCCTCCTTCCCTACAGTTCCAAGTCTCCTCATTGGCTGACGAATTGAGTCGAAAGCTGCAGTTCCTTCACGTCAGTAGTGACGGTGTTTCAGACATGCAGATCCTACAAGTGGAAGTCAAGGTATACATTTCCCCCATGTTACCTGCCTGTCCGATATTTTATTTCTCCCACGTTTTTGTTAGTGAAAGCATTGTATGTATGTATGTGTAGCTCAATGGAGACTTCGTGCATTAGAGAGCCTTTACCCAAAACTGATGCAGGTATACAATCCCCCCCCTCCTCCTCCTCCTCTTCCCAGGTTTTTGTTAGTGAAAGCATTGTATTTATAGCTCTAAAGATGTTGTACAGCTGTTCTATGGAGAATTCGCCCATTAGAGAGCCTTTGGCCGTTGATCCATGTATATAAGAGTCAATCCTCCTCCTCCTCTCCCCTAGACTCATCAGGTTTTTGTTAGTGAAAGCATTGTATGTATAGCTCTAAAGATGTTGTACAGCTGTTCTATGGAGAATTCGCGCACTAGACGGCCTTTGGCCCAAACTGTACCATGTGTCAACTACGACGTAGGCAAAGGCACAACAAGCGAATCAACTACATACTCCCAGGACAGCTCTTTCTTCATGTTAGAGTGAAATCCCTCTCCCCTAGACTCGTCTATCTGACTGGGAAGAAGGCGGACTGGAAACAAAGTTCCTTCTCTCGAAACTAAAAGAAGCTTCTGACAGCCTCCTAAACTACGAGAAAGAGGCGGCGCCGAAAGGCTGGAGATTTCTTTGGGATAGGTACAGTGTTGTCGCTTACCGCACGTGGACTATTACCCCCTCCCCCTTTTTATCACACACCCTGTGTGCGCATGTGTGTGCGTGTGTGTGCTTGACCTAAAAGCCTCGATTGGTCCGGTGAGTTGCCCTATCTGCACATGTCTGCAATGTGGTGGATTATTGGGATGATTGATTTGATAAGACACGAGGTTTGTTATCAAGGTTGGGCTGAATTTTTGGGTTACTTTTTCATCCCCCTCTCTTCTTCCTCTTTCTCTCTCCGTCCCTCTCTTCCATCGTCTCTCTCTCTCTTCTCCCTCCTCTGTTTGCCCCACAGCACAACTTGTCGCTACCAATTCCAACATCTGTCCACCGGTGAAATAAGTTGGGGGTACCCGACTTCTGCGAATGCTGCTGGAGGTTAAAATCAAAATTTGCACACTAAAACTTAAAAATAAGCAACTCAAAATTACTATTACGCACTACCGCAATTTTTTTTCATACGGTATATATAATGTATACTGTGCCTGCACATTTATACATTCCACTTTTCGTAGAACGATAATCCAGTTGAGTGTATGAGCATATACACATTAACTTCTTGTTGCAATTTTGCAACTTTTAGGGAAAGTTTGTCACTTGTGGTTCTATTTAATGCACGTGTTCTCTCCTCTCTCTCTCAAGAAGAGGAAGGCGAAGAAACGACCGAGAGTGTATCTTCAACTCAGGAAGAGGAGGAATCTGCTATGGTTCAAAGGTCAGAGCTCGTGCGTGGTGCTTCTATACCTATACTACATGTACATTGTATATATACGTTTTACTTTCTACTTTCATTTTTGTTTTCCGTTTCTGACACCCAACTTCCAACTTTTCTTCTTTTCTCCCTCCCTTACTCTCCCGTCTTGGTCTGTCTTTCCCCACCAGTCCTCTCCATCCCTCCCTCCCTCCTCCTCCACCTCCTCCCCTTCACTCTAGACCACACCCACAACCCGCAAAACCAGTTTTTCAAACTGGTCAACCGTCAACCACTCCCTCTCGTCCCCAAACAATGACTTCATCGCAAGCTCCACCCGTGACGTCACCGGGCCCCACCCAAACGATTACATCGCCATCATCTGTTGCCACGGTAACCAAGAAACCGGTGAAATCTGCAGCTCTCCCTCATCAGGTGACGCGTGCGCTGGTCACCCCGGAGATGAAGCAGTTGGCAAAGGTCGCCGCTGCCACGGCAAAAAAAGGAGAGAAACAGAAAAAGGATGTGGCCACGCCTACTGGAGCATTTCTCGAGGGAGGGGAGATGGTCCCGGCTCCTATGGTGGGTTCATCTTTTGAGTTTGAGAAGTTCAAAGTGTAGTGATAAGTTGTGTACTAAAGTACAGTACAGCATCATACGTACAAACAAGGCCCTTGTGTGAATATGTAGATACAATGTTCAATGGCTAAACTAGTATTTAGTATGTATATCTTATTGGCACACTTACTGTACACGTATGTGTTTCTCAACCCAGACATATAAGGCATATGGCTACGTCTTTCACACACACACACACACTTAACATGGAAGGGCCGCCAGTTGCCCTGTTCGGGTGGGAGATTGGGCCGTGGTGCATAGGCATTCAAAAAAAACCACAGTTAGTGTACTGCGGACAAAAGCCACTCAATTCAATATCACTCTCCTTTGCTTTTCTTCCACACACACACACACACACGCAATAGCCCCGTGCCTGGAAGTACGAAAACGATGCTCTAAATCGTCGCGTCAAGAGAGAAGGCTCGATCGAGCGTCGCGAGGACGTCAGCGAAAAGGAAATCACGGCAAACGATGTGCGGAGGAAGCTGTCGTCCAAAAGACCTCAGCCAAGACCGACGCGATCGTCTGAGGTGGACGTTGCTGATCTTCCTCCTCCTCCTCCTCCTCCACCTCCTAAAGATGGTGAGAAGGAGAAGAGGGGGAGAGAGAAGGGAGAAGACGTGGAGGGAGGGAAGCGTTAGGCCACTCCTGAAATGAGGACACCTCTCGAAACAGGACAAATTTTCCCTTAGTACTAGGATCACTTTCTTCTGAGATCAGGACACCTCACTAATCAGGACACTTTCTTCTGAGATCAGGACACCTCACTAATCAGTACACTTTTCTCTGAGATCAGGACACCTCACTAATCAGGACACTTGTCATTTTTTGTCATCTTACTCATACTGTATTCTGTCTACATATCACAGACACTAAGAAGAGGAGAGTGGTTTCCACGGCAACTGGTAACCTAGAGCGAAGTGCCGACGTTGTCATGGAAGCCTTACAGGCTCTGACCAATGAAACGAGGGGCATTGATGCTATATCTACTGAACCTGTGTCTCCACCTTGTATAAACCGTAAGCCCCCAAATTTTACATTTTGACTTAAATCTTAAGCACTCCAAACAATGAGTTTTGTATTTGTGTACACTTTTATCTTAAAAGGAGATCTTGGAAGGAGAGATGTATCCGTGGAGACCGAGGCTCCGCCCACCGAAGCTCCGAAGCAGCCGGCCCCTCCCCCTCCCTCCGTGCCAGGTGTCTTGGAGGAGAGTGAGGCGAAGCTTCGAGAGAGGTTGATAGAGCGAACGAAAAAATTGCGAGTGGCTGTCACAGACAAGATACTCATTCTGCCTGACACAGAACCACCTGCACAGGTATATACACTGTATATCCATAACTGTATATCATCCCTATACTCCATATACCTGTATATCATCCATATACACTGTATATACTCCATATACACCGGTTTTGGAACAGGTGTGCAGTGGAAGCGCTGACTATTGGAGAGGAAGTAATGAACAGTTTTTGGCATTTTGTTGTTCTTGCGGAGTTTGTCTTTTCCTTGGAGGTTAAAACAGAAGAGTCACTTTGATCCCACTTAATTGGCGAGCGAAGCGAGCCTACCTAGTCATTTCAATGTTCCATTTAATTATATATTATAATTATAACTATGACGGCTCTGTCAGGCACTGCACATACCGTAATGCTGTACGTGATTCTAAATACGCGTGAAATATTGAACTGCTTGCACTTGTTTGCATGCGTTGCATTCCTCAAGTAATCATTTCTTTTGAACTCCTTTTCTCTAAAGGACGAAGGAGTAGAAGAATCGACCGGTCTACTCTACCCGCAAGAGACAACAAAACAACACGAGGAACAAGCAACGAATACCACACCCGGCAACGAACCTAGCAACCAGACGACTCACAAGGAGACAGGAGTGTCACGCGGTCTGATAAAAACCGGTTTCTCGGCGACGAAGATTCAGGTGAGTTTCGATCGGATCGAACCGGAGACTGGAGAGAGCGAAAACGTGGCAGTCGTCGAGGAAGAGAATTTGGGTGGAGATTTTGGGCGGCACAAAGGGGGAGGAGCCTTGTAACGAGCAGGATGTGGGGACTGGTCGGAAGGATAGATGAAAGTAGAGAAGAAAGTCATCAAACTTCAGTCACGGAAACGTAAGGAATTATAACAACCGTAGATGAAAGTTTATTTTAGAATTCTGAAATCAGACACCTCTCTTGACAGGACACCTTTTCCTTTATAGACTGCCTTGTGTGTTTATAAGCACAATAGAAGTGTCCATATTAGTGAGATGTCCGTATTTCAGGAGTTAAATTGCACGAGAGACCTGTTCGTAGGGAAAGAAATTATGTCCTTATTAGGGAGGTGTCCTCATTTCAGGGTGTCCTTATTAGTGAGGTGTCCTCATTCAGGGGTGTCTTATTAGTGAGGCGTACCATTTGCATTTCAGTGTCCTCTTACAGCTGTCCTTAATTAGTGAGGTGTCCTCATTTCAGGGTGTCCTTATTAGTGAGGTGTCCTCATTCAGGGGTTCTTATTAGGAGGTCGTCCTCATTTCAGGGGTGTCCTTATTAGTGAGATGTGTCCTCATTTCAGGGGTGTCCTTATAGTGAGGTGTCCTCATTTCATTAGGGGTGTCCCTTAGGTAGTGAGGTGTCCTCATTCAGGTGTCCTTATTAGTGAGGTGTCCTCATTTCAGGGGTGTCCTTATTAGTGAGGTGTCCTCATTTCAGGGGGTCCTTATTAGTGAGGTGTCCTCATTTCAGGGGGTCCTTATTAGTGAGGTGTCCTCATTTCAGGGGGTCCTTATTAGTGAGGTGTCCTCATTTCAGGGGGTCCTTATTAGTGAGGTGTCCTCATTTCAGGGGTCCTTATTAGTGAGGTGGGTGTCCTCATTTCAGGGGGTCCTTATTAGTGAGGTGTCCTCATTTCAGGGGGTCCTTATTAGTGAGGTGTCCTCATTCAGGGGGGTCCTTATTAGTGAGGTGTCCTCATTTCAGGGGGTCCTTATTAGTGAGGTGTCCTCATTTCAGGGGGTCCTATTAGTGAGGTGTCCTCATTTCAGGGGGGTCCTTATTAGTGAGGTGTCCTCATTTCAGGGGGTCCTTATAGTGAGGTGTCCTCATTTCAGGGGGGTCCTTATTAGTGAGGTGTCCTCATTTCAGGGGTGTCCTTATTAGTGAGGTGTCCTCATTTCAGGGTGTCCTATAGAGAGGTGTCCTCATTTCAGGGGGGTCCTTATTAGTGAGGTGTCCTCATTTCAGGGGGTCCTTATTAGTGAGGTGTCCTCATTTCAGGGGGTCCTTATTAGTGAGGTGTCCTCATTTCAGGGGGGTCCTTATTAGTGAGGTGTCCTCATTTCAGGGGGTCCTTATTAGTGAGGTGTCCTCATTTCAGGGGGGGTCCTTATTAGTGAGGTGTCCTCATTTCAGGGGTGTCCTTATTAGTGAGGTGTCCTCATTTCAGGGTGTCCTTATTAGAGAGGAGTTCTCTGCTTTAAGATTGAGGACACCTACACTGTCTGTGCAGTTGTACCTTAGTAGCAAAGCCCCCTCTTATTTTTACACAAATTGTTCTTCCCACAGAGGTGTCTCGACAGAGGGAGAGAGAGGGGCAGCGAAGGAGAAGATGGAGGTCCCAGCTACCACAGAGGGTGAGAGGGAAGTGGAGGGAGAGAAAGAGGAGGTGAGAGGGAAGAGGGGTGGGACGGCCACGGACAAGACGGAGGACGAAGAGGGGGAGATATCGTCGGGCAGTTCCACGCCAGGGCCGGTGTCCGAGTCCCATTCCGCCGTGACTCCGCGATGCTACATGGACAGGGAGGGCGGGGCGAGAATGGACGCCCAGAGAAGTCGGTAAGCCACCTGTAGAGAGGGGTTTGTAAATGAAATACTTAACCAAAATATTGAATTACATATTGTAGGCAATGATACATGTAGTGCCAAATTTTGGAAACTGTCATTGAGAACGGAAACTTAAACATAATCGGTGAAAATTTCGCGGCTTACTGTGGTATATAGTGTATTGTACTATGTGTATGATGTCAATGAAAAAAGAAGGCCTTCTTCACTGTGTCATTTTTGTTCCCCCACAGTACGGGGTATGATAGTGATAGCCCTCCGGAGTACTCCGACCGTTACTCCAAATCGTCGTCGTCACGGAGACGCTACTCCCAGTCGCGCTCTCGTTCCCGCAGCCGTGATCGCTATGGCAACAGTCGGAGCTCTAAAAGTCGGCGTGGAGACGACAGTGACTATTCGGACTATGGAGGGGATCGTTCCGATAAGAAGAGTTATCACACAAGTGTGTACAGTGACTTCTCGGGATCAGATTTTTCCGAAGAAGATCGTTACTCTCGTCAACGTCGCCACGGCGACTATGACTCTGACGACGATTATCGGGAGAGGTCGAGCGAGCGTCGCTCTCGGAGGTCGCGAAACGAAGACGAAAGGTCGACGTCAAGGAGACGCAAACATCGATCTCGTTCGCGGTCGCGCTCAAAGGAGTCGCGTGGTTCGGGAAAACATCGTCGTAGTAAGGACAAAACCGGTATCAGCGATAAGAAGAAGAGGAAGAAGGAAAAGAAGGAGAAGAAGCACAAGAAAGATCGCAAGGACGAGAACGAGCCTCCAAAACCACCCAAAGAAAGTCACAGTAGGTCGCGTTGGTAAAGTCAGCTCTCTGCGTACTCTGTCTTCAGACAATACGACCACGGGGGAAGGAGACACGCCTCTGGACAAGGCCCAGGCAGCCATCGCTGAGAGCATCGACGAGAAGCAGAAGCAGGAGAGAGAAATGCTGGAAAAGCGGGAAGAGAGCAAGCGACTGGAGAGCAAGATACAGCAACACGTGCAGGGTCATGGCGGACACTCCGGCGGTGGAGGACAACCGGCTCAGGTTGTCACCGGGGCTTACTCTGGGTACCCTACCACTGCGGCACAAGGAGGGTACTATTCCGGATTGTACCCCGGCTACCAGTATCCTGGGTATGCGACTGGGACGGGATGGAACCCGGCCCAGTGGAGTGGAACCGAGTACCAGCAGTACGTACAACAACAACAGGCTGGAACTGGGGAACAGCAGTATGGAAACGTGGAAACCGGAGAACAGCAATACGGAATTACGACCAGTTTGCAGCAGTATGTAGGAGATGGGGGAGCATCAGGGAATAAAACTCGGGCGTACGGAGGAACAGATGCGCAAGGAACTGGGGATCAGGTGCCTAAAGAGACAACTGGGCATCCGGCAGATGTTGTTACGGCTCAAAAAGCGGACAAACAAAAGAGTGAAGGTGAAGATGTGTCTGAAAGCATGGAACAGGGACACGGGGGTTCCGGAACCGGAGATGTTGGAACTGGAATCGGGGAACCGGAGATTGGGAACCAGACTACGTCATTTGCAAGGGAAGGAGACACGGATGATCTCAGATCAGTCGAATGTGTGGATCAACAAGCACCAATTGAAATACAAAACCTCCTCCACCGCCACCTCCAGATGTCGCCATGTCAACAAGTTCCCATGACAACGAGATTGTTGCCATGCCGACCGTATCCACGGGTGACGATGAACAAGACACCGCGGTAGTCTCGGAGGCACCGGAAGCCAGCGAGGGAGTAGAGGGGGAGAGGGAGGGAAGAGGGGAGGAGGTGGAAGAAACGGCCAGAGTGTGAGATGGAGATAGACAGTGGAGGGAGTTCCCGGTGGAAGTGGCTCCACCCATTGTCCTCGGTGCCGACAAACAGGGAGGTGACGGGGGCTTCAGAAGTGGGTGGAGTCGGGGGAGGGCTTCGTGATGCTGGACCTTCAGAAGGTTTGCCTTATGCAGAGAGCTGTACCTCAGCAGGGTTTCATAGCTAATTTAGCTACCTCGGGAGGGTTAATATACACTTCGTAGCATGTGCATCAATTCCTTTATTCAGGGGGTCGTTTTGTTTCGCTGTATATACCCTATGGTCTATTTTAATGTGGTGTACAATGTGTGTGTTGTCATCAGCCACATAGGCAACGTGTCACTTTCACATGTCAAAACATGGACGGTGTATTTTCAGGTGTTTCTGCACTCTCTGGTGGTCGTCATGACGACGACGACGATGCAGGTCCAGAGAGCAGTCCGGAGCCCCTCCCACCTGGAATGGAGCCCGAGTTGACGTCGGGGAATTCCCCTGCCCCCTTGCCTCCTGGAGAAGGTTAGTTTGCATCCCGCAGACCCCACAGACCCCACCCTCACAATCTGGTGACTATTGAGCAATTTCTCGGATGTACTGACTTGGCTGTAGTACAGTGGAACTCCTCTAATCCAGACACCAATGGGACAGAAGAAAGTGTCCATATTAGTGAGGTGTCCTGAGCATTATATAGTGGAACTCCACACCAATGGGACAGAAGAAAGTGTCCGTGTTGTGAGGTGTCCTTATTTCAGAGGTTTAATTGCATGCAAGAACTGTTCTTGGGGAAGGAAAAGGTGTCCATATTATTGAGGTGTCCTTATTTCAGGGGTTGAATTGCATGCAAGAACTGTTCTTGGGGAAGGAAAAGGTGTCCATATTATTGAGGTGTCCTTATTTCAGGGGTTGAATTGCATGCAAGAACTGTTCTTGGGGAAAGAATAGGTAATGTACTCGTTTCAGGAGCGTATGTACTTAAAGAGGGGTTCATTTTTGATATCAGAAGTTATATACGTGCAATTTATCATCCTCAGATGTTGTAGCTGTGGAGGATGGGGCTACCAAGTTACCTGAGAATGGAACGGAGACTGAGGAACCAGCCCCTCCTGGAATGGAACCTGACCAGCCAATTCCTCGTATGTTGTACACATGTACATGCACAATCACGTGTGTAAAAATGAGTGCTTACGAAAATACACCGGTTTTCGTTGAAATCTCCAATTTTAGGGCTCTTCTGATGAGTCTTCTGATGAGTGTGCATTTGCTGTCCAGATACATTATTTGCCATTTTCATCTATTCCTTGCATTTTTTTCTTGTGTAGCCCCTCCTCCTCCTCCAGAGGTGAAAGAAAGCAAATCAGATTTGCAAACTCCTCCACCTCTACAATCGGATACTACTCCATCCGCTCCCCCGCCCCCTCCTGTTACCACGGATACCGGAGTGTGCACCCCGACACCCCAAACTCCCTCCTCCATCGTTCCAGTTTCATCCTCCGGGGTAGTCGCCACGGAAACCCCGGTGGTTACTACGACGACCAAAGAATTGGCTTCAACAATGGAAGTGTCTATGGCAACCACCAAACAACCTACCCCCACTGCTCCCATAACAACGCCTGCCCGTAAATCAGCCTCTCGTCTCCAGACTCTGCCCACCAACACGTCGTCAACAGCAACATCGTCGTCGCAGAGTTACGACGTAGCCACGGCGGCCGCTGCATACGCACACGCGACAAAAACCGGGCAACCATACCAGTACCCACAACAAATAGCTGCACAGCAACAGCAGCAGGGTTACAGTGACTACGCGGCGTATACAGCTTACCTGCAACAAATGAGTCAATACGGAGGTGGTTACGTACTGGGGGCAGACGGGCAGTACTACCAGCAGGCGAACCCGTATGGAGCTTATGCTGCGGCTGCAGCGGCTGCCGGGGCTTATGGAGGGTACTACGCTGCTTACAGCTACGCCAGCCCGAGTTATCCGAGTCCTAGTGGGCAGGTTAGCTTTGTACACAGAGTGCTCTGCCTTGCTCTGTATGAGTGATTCAGCCCAGCCAGCTGAGCTGCCTCAGTAGCTCAGTTGGTAGAGCCCTCTCTAGAACACAGAGTGCTCTGCCTTGCTCTGTATGAGTGATTCAGCCCAGCCAGCTGAGCTGCTCGTAGCCAGTTGGTAGAGCCCTCTCTAGAACACAGAGTGCTCTCCTTGCTCTGTATGAGTGATTCGGCCCAGCCAGCTGAGCTGCCTCAGTAGCTCAGTTGGTAGAGCCCTCTCTAGAACACACAGTCCTCTGCTTTTGTCTGGTTACAAATTCTTTCGCGTGGTTGACTGAATTCATATTTATCATAGGTTACAATAGCATCTGCAAAATGCATTCAGAGGCAGACAAAAAGGAAAAGGTAAGAAAACACTACGCCCTTCCTTCATATCCCTCATCTCTCTCCCTCTCACCTCTTACGCTGAGTTTGTGCTGCCTAATTTGTTTTAAAAACATTTTCAGAAGCCGTGATGTTCAAGACTTCTTCCCTGAATTTCCCTGTACTTGAATGACCATTGATGACAGTTTACCATGTTTATTGCCTCTTGTGTTCTTTTATTCTGCTGTAAGTGTATAATACTGACTATTCTGACAGACAATGGTAGCATGCGCGCGATTATTATGCAGATTAGTGCGCATGCGCTAGCTACACTCGCTGTTTTATACGCATGCGCGGAAGTGTTGCATATAACTAGGGCGTCCGCTCCTAGTTTTCGCAAGGAAAACGTGGTTTAGCAGAGAGCGAGAGGGAGGAGAGATGGACAAGCACACGCTGCACCTGTTTACGGCGGTGGAGATAGCCGAAGAGCTGACGTTGCGAGACGCGGAGCTACTGAGACGTATCGGTGCCACGGAGATACGCAATGGAGCGTGGATGGACAAAGAAAAGGTTTGCACCTGTTTTATCTTCTTTCTGTTGCGTCAGACCTAGAGCTAAGCTAACAATTTTCCTTTCCAAAAATACACGTTACGCAGTCTACTGTCTCGGGACTAGTTGACTATAGAACGAGGCTAGATCATTGCCAGTGTGACTCATCAGTTTTTCTGGTCAACAATTTCCAGAGCCAAGATTGAAGTCGACCTTGTCGTTTTTTGTGTTCTGGAGTCTAAGAACTCCACCGTTTATCGATTTAGCTACATGACTAATGCAATTTAGCTAGCTGGCGTCATGTGCCAGCTTGGCTCGCTAACAGATGTAGCAGGTGTTCGAGGTAGACATGAAAGTCCTATTTGCACCTAAGCTAACGCGGGGAAAACCAAATGTCTTCCTATAGAAAGGTGTACTTTATTCAGAGAGTCCTTTCCTGTTTTTGCGTTCCTCTAGCTATAACTGTTGATTCATGTTCCTTGTCAATGAGTCTTGCAATCATTCATGAACCAGCAAACCGAAAGGACTAGTTGATATTCATAGTCTGGTCCATTGTGTTAGTAACAACAGCAATAATCCCCACATAAACACTGCAGATATTTGTGCAATTGATATTGCATTGTTGGCATAATTGTAGGGTACCTCCATGACGCAAACTGGCTCCGCCCCATACTAGTGTAAATACCGAGCACTACGCGGGCGTACTCTATATATCCCATAAATAAAAATATAAGTTGCATAGGGAGCCCACGTGGGGCCAGTATAGCACTAGCCAGAAATACCGTATGGTATCTTTATCGTGAATGTGCTGAGACTCGTAAGAGAGTGAGAACACAAGACCCACGCTGCTGGTAGAGCCAGGAGCCGACGCAAGCGCTACCGGCGAGATGTAGAGAGGTCGTCCCTATCTCGGAGGGTCCCTTATCGGAGGTTCCACTGTAACTCATTATGCCTAAAAAAACCTCTAAAAGTGAGGCAGAATCACCTCAGTAGAACGACAAAGAGGACTGAGATGAAAGTAGGAGCCAAACATCCCAGTAAGGTTGTAGGCAAACAGTGTGAAATAACGTTTACATGGTAACATATGAACAATGCAAGAGGTGAATGAGGAGAAGCCAGGTATGCATACAATGGGCTACAGTAAACATTGTGTAGGGTGATGGCTGAATTAAGAGAGAGGGAGAGGGAGAGAGAAAGAAGTGAAAGAGGGAGGAGAAGGGATGGAATGCAACAAGTGGCAAGCTCTGCAGAATGATAGTGAAAGTTATTTGCAAAAGAAGCCCTAATTAGCTTTCTGCTTGTTGAGTAAAGGGGGAAATTGCTATATGCTTAGAGCGATGGGGCGAGGTAGTAGGAATTTCTGCTTTTTTAAGGAGATACATAACCATGGCGTCCAAATAATTGCACTGGGTCACTAGGTTTAGTTCTAGCTTTAGTAAGTTTAGCTCTAAACCCTTATATTATTATTATTCCCATTATTTTGTCACTCTACCACAGAAGCAGAAGTTGGCTCCGAATGTGCTGGCGATGGTAGAGGATTTCAACTTCCTGGCCCAGCTGGTTGCCAAGGAGATCCTCGCGGAAGAGTCCCTCAGAAAGAGAGCGGAAGTCATAGCCACTTACATCAAAGTGAGTCCAGGGAACTAAGACTTTCCGGCTATAGTACGCAGTTTGCAGGAAGCTAGGAAGTGATTGTTGGATTGCATGATGATGCAGTGGAACTTGTCTAATCTGGACACCAATGGGACGGAAGAAAACGCCCATATTAGTGAGGAAGGCCTTGTTAACCCTCGCCTGCGGGTTATTGCAGTTGGTCTGTGTGTGCTTGTGTCGTTCCGTTTTGAACCAACAGTGGCGAGGGTTATGCACTTTCAAGTGCTTTTCATTAGAGAGTGTCAATCTAATAAGGCCTTTCTTGGAATAAATTGAGCTCTTGTGTGTGCACAGAGTGGGTTTTGTACACGTGCATCGGTTGATGCAAGCTCTTTTATATAAACAATCAAAGTGGGTGCCAAGTTGGTATGGGAAGGGAAGGTACTGGTAGGCTTCTGAACTGGGACATTGTGTGCCCACAGGGGGAATGTCTCACGATAGTTTAATACATGTGGTATTTATCAGGAAATTGTGGTATTTATCAGGAAATTGGGTGGTCTTGTAGTTTAATTGTATTACTGTTGCAGAGTAATTGAAGGGGTCAGAGCCAGAGTGAGCCAACCCTCAATTTACAACTCTTTGCCGGTTTGTTCTATAAGGACATAATATTTGAAGGGAAACCGGCAAGAGTTGTATATTGAGGGTTGGCCCCACTCTGACTCTGACCCCTTCAATTGTACTGTTGTTAAGACACCAGCTGTTCCTTTCCCCATGACAACACAGTATGATAATAATTACATAAGGCAAACATGGACGATATCTAAAACAGCAACCCGTTCTGTCGTGATAGGTATCTGGGATAAACGGGATGCAAGAGTGAGTTTTGATAGCTCATGACTACACACTAGCCATAGCCATGTGTATTATGGGCCCCGCATCTCTATGAATATGTCGCATTGCCCCGTCGCGCCATGCCGCCAGGATAGACTCCATTTCCAGAACGCGACGCGGCACGGTGCCATATTGTGAACCTAGCCTTATCTGGCACCGAAATAATGCATACTCCATCCCCCTATCCACATGAAAAATACACCATGTGATGCCAAGAGAAAAAAGATGAGGAGCTCTGGACAGCTGTTCGGGCTTGTTGGCCCTCATCAGCAGAGCATACCACAACTTCTCTCTCTGGCACCACGAGTTTATAAAGGCTACATGTATACAGAGGAACCTCCAGTTAAAGAATCACTGGGAGCTTGAAAACTGTCCTTCATGCAGGTGTCCTTTTAGTCAGAGATTACCACCGGATCAACAGGTGTCCTTAATTCGGATAAGAGGTTCCAATCTATTACATCATGTTAGTTCCCTTCCCCAAAACCGTGAAGTAAGATTAAAAATGAAAGTGTCAACAGCTTGTTTAGTATACAGCTTTTACGATGAACGAAACAGCTAGACCAGTATAATCTTGCATGGGGGTAGTTTTACTAAGAAAGCTGACCATAATTCAAAGCTGTTGCTTTTAAAGTGAAGTGCGGTGCAGCGAGCTAGAGTATGTTACTATTCCATTACTCCAACTATAGTCACAGTATTAGGGACAGTTGGTTTGTCTCTTTTTCCACTCGTGTGTCTACAAAAAATGCAAAATCTTTTATTGCCACATGGGCGGGACAGTGAAATAGATGTGAGATAGGGATTAGTAGAGCAAGATAGGAATAGGTGCAGCGAGATAGAGTATGATACTAATCCAAACTCCAACTATAGTCAAAGTATTGAGTATGGTTGTTTTGTATTTACCTTCCCTAATGTCCCTGTAAAAAAATGCAAAATCGCTCAAACCCTTTGGGGTGAGGGGCAGCGAAATAGGATTGGTGAAGTAAGGTAAGAATAATATCGACAAGATAAGGTTTTGTAAAGGAGAGAGAGCGGGTGGTACTATTCAGTATAGTCTGAGTGTTTCATAGGATTCTCTATGACAACGTTGCATCGCGTTCATCAGAGGTGTCCCCCTGTTCTGAGGTATTCATGTGTAATCATACACTAGCATGGATCATGTGGTGTATAATACACTCGCATTGAGTAAGGTGTGTAATAATCCCCTAAGCCTGGAGTTGTGGTGTAAATATACACTAGCAATGGAGTAATGTGGTGTATAATACACGAGCAATGGAGAGTGGTGTAATAATACACTACATGGAGTATGTTTGGTGTATAATACACTAGGCATGGAGTATGTGGTTGTAATAATACAATAGCATGGAGTATGTGGTTTATAATACCGAGCATGGAGTATGTGGTGGTATAAATACACAGCATGAGTATGTGTGTATATACACAGCATGGAAGTATTTGGTGTAATAATAACACTAGCATGGAGTATGTTGGTGTATAATACACTAGCCTTGGAGTAATGTGGTGTCTAATACAATAGCATGGAGTATGGGGTGTATAATACACTAGCATGGAGTATGTGGTGTATAATACACTAGCATGGAGTATGTGGTAGAATCCACTAGCATGGAGTATGTGGTGTATAATACACTACATGGGAGTATGTGTGGTTAAACACTAGCATGAGTATGTGGTGTATAATACACTAATACTACCTAGCTGAGTAATGTGGTGTATAATACACTAGCTGGATTATGTGGTGTATAATACAACTAGCATGGAGTATGTGGTGTATAATACCTAGCCTGGAGAGTGATTTGGTGTATAATACACTAGCATGGCGTATGTTACTGTTCCATACTCCAACTATAGTATAATACACTAGCATGGGCAGAACCAAGTGTCCCTTATATACGGAGAGGTGTCCTTTATTCAGAGGTCTCACTAATGTATTAGTATGGGGCAGACCAAGTGTCCTTATTGCAGAGGTGTCCCACTATGTATTAGTATGGGGCAGACACCAAGTGTCCTTTATAGAGAGTGTGCTTTATTCAGAGGTGTCCTATGTATTAGTATGGGGCAGACCAAGGTCCTTTATAGAGAGGTGTCCGTTATTCGGAGCGTGTATATCACCGTTACATAAAGTAAACTGCTCATTTCACAGGTTGCGAAGCAAATGCTACGAGTTGAGAAACTCACACAATTCTCTGACGCCGTTTTGGCTGGGCTGATGGTGCACACACGGTACATCGACTCAAGCGAAACCTGGAAAGAAGAGTGCCTTCAGAAACGGGAAAGAGTAATATTACGTAATAGCCTCCTTATTGATCTGTGATTTAGAGTTTATGCATCGCCAATTAGATCCCTATCATAGCTCAGTACATCTATGATGCTAGGTACATGCCATCCCTATATAATCTGAAGAGAGAAGCTTCGCCACACACGAGAAGAGATGAACATAAACTCCCTATCAGAATACGCTCACCATCGCACCCGCTCGTACCAATGCCAAATCCATTATACTAATCTGAAGAGAAGTTTGCTGCCTCGACGCAGATAACAAATAGCTCCCTATCATAGCCCCATACATCTATGATGCTAGGTCCATGCCATCCATTATACTAATCTGAAGAAGATAGAGGAAGAAGAGAAGAATGACACAGACCTCCCTATCATAGCCCCATACATCTATGATGCTAGTACCATGCCAATCCTATATACTGAGTACTACCGTACTAGTGATAGTGATTACGAAGCTTTAAATATAAGTCAGGGACTGATGATGTTTTTATATATCCGTACAGGCAATTGGATTACCTTAGCAACCTGAGTCTGAGGAGCGAAACTGGAGGCAGTACAGACGACAGCTCGCAAAACACGTTTCGAGCAACACCTCTGCGTCATCTTCCTCGGAGTGCTCCTTAGCAACGTCGTCCACTACGAGTCTTATCAACAGTGAAAGATTGAGTCGTCTTTCGAGTGCGATGCCCGTCGTCGCTAAGAAGTTGTTGTGTGCGAGACTTTTTACCGTTCTCGAAGCTATTACCGTGCGGAATCGATTGAGGAAGATGAGCAGGAGGGAAAGTGGGGGAGGAGGAATGGGAGAGGAGGGGAGAGGGGGGTGAAGTGCTTCGCTGTTGAGGAGGAGAGGGAGAAAGTGTCTGTCTGTGATGACAATCCATTCTGCAACGGTATGGTGTGGTCCTGATTAGTGAGGTGTCCTGATCTCAGAAGAAAGTAGAGTAGTACAGGTGTCCTAATTTAAAGTGGCAAACCCGTGTCTAAGGACACTCCTGATTACGGACATCTTTCTAAGAAGGCTCTTCCCAATTTGCAAGGGCAACCACTAATATGGACACATTATTCTGTCCCATTGGTGTCCTGACCAGAGGGGCTCAATCATACATACAGTGGAACCTCTGATAAGGGACCCTCTGAGATAGGGACGACCTCTCTACAAAGGACACTTGTTCAACCCATGCCAATACTACAAGTGTATTATTTGACCTCCGAGATAGGGACGACCTCTCTACAAGGGACAAAATCGTTGGTGTCCCTTGTTCAGAGGTTCCACTGTAGTATATACACTCGAGAGTCCTCATTTCAAGAATCCTCTCTCTACACAGGTGGTGATATGACGAGAAATCTCCATTCCTCTCTCTCTCGGACGGGATTCAAGTGCGACATTTCCCCGGATCTTCCCGACCTTGACGATTGGTCGGTCGACGTGTGTCGCGAGCCGACCGTCGTCTTGGAAACCGAAGTTTTCCCCTTGGAAGAGGCCACGCCCCTATTAGGAGAGGGCGAGTCTAGAGCAGGTTGTTGAAGGCGTGTCAAGTTGACGATGATGATGATTTTGAGTACGTATAGGTATATCATGTTACACACGCAATATTATTTTGTTTGCACAGTCTAGCACATACTAAGCAAAAAATTGCATTGTGTATCATCTTTTTCTCTATCTATCTATCTCAGGATCAGATGTTCAAGCCTGTCTCGCAGGTTTGCCAAGAATTTCAGTCGGTCACTTCCGTACCATCAGTCTGGGGGGACACGACAAGTCCTCACCTGCAAATCCAGCCGACACTCCGCAACCAATTAACCTTCTTTTGACAATGTCGACGATAAAGCACAGCTGTCAGTAGAATACAAGTGCCCGGTCATCAAATGGATTTCACGACGACGACGAAATCTCACGGATCGGAAGTGCACAACGCTGAGCTCCGAGCAGAGCGACTTCGACAACGACGCACCGAACGTCCGCGTAAAGAGATCACGGATCGTGCACGAAGTTGAATCGCCTTCACACGAGAACTCGGACAACGCACCGGAAATTTCGGACGTGGAAAACAGTCAAAAGATCACCAGATGCAATTTGGGAGGGAGTGTTCATTAAGAAAAGAGGCGGTCCACTCTATAGAGAACAGCACGAATGGTTTTCAAGTGAACGAATCGACGGTGAAAGCGTAAGAAACGGCGACCGTCAATTTCCAACTGACCCCGTAGCCACGCGTGCAGACCGACAGCTCAGGAAGCGTTACACGGCCAGTGACGAACTGGACGTCATTCAACTCCAAACCGCCCGTGAAGACCCGACCTCTGACCCCACCTCCCTGCTCAAACTCTACCAGTTTCTGTCGCTAGGCTACTCTGTGCGATACACCAGCTCACCTTACATTAGGGAGATACTCTGCAACTGTAAAACCACGTCAGAAGCACAGAACTACAGACGTTCTTACATCCTCGAATCCTTATAGCCAATACAACCATTGTCACATGTATGGAACATTGTCCCTCAACTGCATGTAAAATTCTATCCCATACAATATCTTCATAATCACACACGCAACATGGCATGCGATATAAATATTGTGAACCTAGCCCTAGTCATTATCCTACATGTGGATTATCATATTATCGTTCCTCGTCAATATTTATTACGAACATTGTTTAAACCGTTGCCTATGCTCTATACACACAGGTTGTAATACTTGATGCCCTTACATGGTAATACAATACTTGATTGAGGGGAATGTGTATTATACTTTTTGATTGAATCACAATTCACACTGTGTATATAAGACAATGTGCTAATAATGACATTTCATGATTGGCTGAGGTTAAATGATAGAATTTTGTACAAAGAAACAAAAACCAAAAGCGATTCGAGAATCTCGGGAAAATCCATGTTTTTTCACTAGAAACGCTGATATTATATCTCCCCCACGTCTGGGGAGACCTGTTCCTCGTTCCCATGGTCACCACTCTTCGCGGCAATCTGTTCCAGAACCTGTCTTGAATCGCCGTCGTCCTCCCGGCTACTTCCGTTCCCCTTTCCCTCTCCTCCTCTTTCCTTGTGCCCACTTTCGTTACAAGGAAGTAATGCTTTTGGTGGTCTGGGTGGTGGGGCTGTAAATAAGTAAGCAAAATATTTCGGTAAATCATGCTCGAGAGGTTTATATACTATTTTTAATGCAATTTTACAAGTAATACAAAGAATGTACACTCGTCACTCATTAGCTTGATAGGTAGCTCCTTCAATAAAAAAAATCGCACACATTTCCCCCCCTGTTCTTTCAATTTTACTGCTGAAGACGGACACATTACAGCCACTTCATACATGACTGCACGATAGGTCATTGAGTACAGCACAATGCAATGCAGTTTGGTGGCAAATGCAAGTGGAAAAATTACAGGTATTTAGAATTACGTAAATCGTTATCGACAGCGCCTAAAATGAAAGAACACACTCAGGTAGGCTCGCTGCGCTCGGCAATCAACTAACTTTCAGTTTCTTCGTTGTTCTCTCTTGGAGGCAGGGGAGGAGGAGGAGGAGGAGGTTGAGGTTGGGCGCCTCCGTCGACGTCCCAAGCAACGCTCAAGCCACGACGACGAGACTTCTCTTGCGACGAGTCGGAATCGGAGGACAGACACGATCGAGAAGGCTTCTTCACGTGTTTGTCCTCCTCTGCGGCCATTGTTTCCAAATCCTCAATTTCGATCTCAATAGTGGCAGATACGGTGGTGACACTGCTCGAATACGAATCGGAACTGCAGTCCGGTTTTTCCACGCCCCGACCATCGGAAACATTCGAATCGTGCGAATCTTTCTCGCGGCGGAGTTTAGAATCCACACGATTGACTTCTTGCGACCCACTTTTTGTGAGTGCTACTTTTTCGTGGAGATCTTTGGTTTGTTTTTTCACTCTTTTCGGTGAGATTGGGTACACTTCCGGCTCATCGACAAATTCGTTTACGCCCGACGAACGGTTAGCGACACATTTCAGCGGGATGGAGGTCGGTGTTGCTACCGGCGACAAATTGTTGCGGATAAAGTTACACTGTTTCGTGGGGAGATGAAAAGGGTTGCTTTTCTTCGTGTGAGTTGGGGGAGATGGGGAGGAATGGAAGGAGGGGGAGCGCGGGGAGGTGAGGATGGAGGGGGAGCGCGGGAGGTGGAGGTGGAGAGAGGCCGTAATGGCGTTTCCGACCCGAGAATCATAGTTGCCCTGTCAACCTGATCATATTTTCTTCTCGCACGGTGACTCAAGTACAAGATTCCCACCACAAACACAGCGAACAAGACAAACGCGACAACGAGCACAGTCCCCAGCCCAACACCAAGATCCTGCAGTGAACCTTCCTCCTCCTGGTTGCCAGTCTGTTCATCGCTCTGCCCCCCCTGTCCGTCGCTCTGCCCCTGCCCCTGCCCCGGTTCAGTTCCGGTTCCAGAGCGTGTGGAATCGGGGTCCGACGAGGGAGGAGGTGGGGAGGTGCCCGAGTTGCCTGGTTGCGAAGAGGAGGATGTTGTGGGAGTGGTTTCAGAAGGTGGTGTGGTTAGGGGTTAAACGAGTCGGTCTTTCAGTAGGCTCCGCTATAGACATGTAACACAAAGGGATGTGCGGTATAATAAGGGCTAAACTTAGAAACTGTTACTAACTTTAGCAGTCTTAATTAAAACTTCATTGCATTCTTGCTCTGGGCCCTACAGTTCAGCTGGCTAAACTTAGAAACTGTTACTAACTTTAGCAGTCTTAACTAAAACTTCATTGCATTCTTGCTCTGGGCCCTACAGTTTAGCTGGCTAAACTTAGAACTGTTACTAACTTTAGCAGTCTTAACTAAAACCTCATGCATCTTGCTCTGGGCCCTACAGTTCAGCTGGCTAAACTTAGAAACTGTTACTAACTTTAGCAGTCTTAACTAAAACTTCACTGCATTCTTGCTCTGGGCCCTACAGTTTAGCTGGCTAAACTTAGAAACTGTTACTAACTTTAGCAGTCTTAATTAAAACCTCATTGCATTCTTGCTCTGGGCCCTACAGTTCAGCTGGCTAAACTTAGAAACTGTTACTAACTTTAGCAGTCTTAACTAAAACTTCATTGCATTCCTTCTTGCTCTGGGCCCTACAGTTAGCTGGCTAAACTTAGAAACCTGTTACACTTTAGCAGTCTTAACTAAAACTTCATTGCATCTTGGGCCCTACAGTTTAGTGGCTAAACTTAGACTAAAAAAACGGAAACTTAATCGCGTCTAACTGTTACTGTCACGAAAGTTTTTGTTGCAAAAGAGGTATAATAATACTATCACTAGGATGAAAGCATTATGTATATAGAATCATGTAAAGTATCACGGTATGTGCAGTGCCCTATGCGACTGCTCGCTTTGCTAGACACTCGTATGGACACATTCCGCACTTCTAGGTCTGCAGTTTGAACGAATCGGGACTAGAGACAGTGGAAAGCGTGGCATTGATGTGTTGAGACACAGGTATAGTTCACAGGAGTGTGTTTTGAGCAAGGCATTGTAGTGAGTGAGTCACGGACTTATTCTCTGAAGACATAGGAGGGAGAGACGAGTAGGGAAGAGAGGGAGAGGGCGGGAGGGAGAGGAGGAAAGCGAGGCAAAGGAGGGAAGAGAGGGACAAAAGACGCATGTACTTATGACAAAGGCGTGATGGGGAGAAAATAAAAAAGGAGAGAGCTGTACATAAATTAATAGGGACATGTACAGTGTAGGTCCTGCTACAGTCACTTAGGAGAACCACACCTTGTCGTGCTCGCGAAACTCTGTACAAAAGGGAACGCTCTGATGTGACCATGGATGTTGTTTTCATTTATGCAGGTGTTCCTCTCCTTAGGTGACTTTGACCCTTTGCGCATTCGGAAATATGCCACTGCACGGGCCATATCTCTAGGGAAAAAAACGTGGCCCCCCTCCCCGAGCAAACTTTCTAGATAAAGAACCCAATTTGCCCCCCCCCCCAGCAAAAATTCTAGAAAAAAACGGTGAAAGACGTCGTTTTTTATAAAGGAGGTTCCACTGATACACCACTAGAAACTATATTATTCACCTCCGGGTTTGTGTCCATCTATTGACACAAACTGAACTGCGAGTGGTTTGTACAGCGTGGTTCGTTCCAGAATAGTCCGCAGTGCGTCTTTCAATCCCGTCGTCGACGCGACGGTCGTCAGCGAGCGACACGACGACATGAGGTGGACTCCGGGTCGACCAAACAGAAAACTCCCTCTCGTCTCTGGGTCGTCGTCTCGGTCGCTAGGGGAGAAATGCCGCATGGTTAGCTGACCACGGTGCTACTAAAAGAGTTGGTGTTGCGAGCGACGCACAGTCGGTTGTCGTCGACGGCAACGATTATCTCGCCGGCGTGGCCTAGGAACGTTGTGGCACCGATAATCCCCGCACCTCCGTCGCAGAATGTCAGACGAGTCCGTGTTGAGATCGCCGATGACGTCATGGGATTGATGTAGGAGGTTCGAGAAGGGCATTTGTCCTCGCGCAGTGATGCATGGGCGTTCGACCATTCCGTTTACTCTCGCAGTTTCACACTTTCGGCGGGTCTCCGACAAAGTCAGTCCAAACATCGTACGTTGTGTAAATAGACAATACACGTGTACGATATCAACAGCTCAGCTGACAGCCACGGGCATATAGTATGAGTCATATGCCCAGAGCCTCATAAGTGCATAAGACTTATGGCTATTAATACTAGCCGTTAATACGATAAGATGATACACCAGATTTCGTGCTTAATATGGAGGAGCATAGCTCATGTCATCCAAAGGGCGTAAAAACGCAAGGCGCGGTCCATTCAAGTACCTTCGCGACAACATTATGAAAATTTGAAAGGAGAGCTGCCCCGGGTGCGACTAAACCACGAAACTCTGTCTCTAGGCAGAGTGCTTAACCACTGAGCTACCAGGGCAGCTTACCTAGGGCATTAAAAGCAAAGTAAAAAAAAATTCAATCTGCGGCACGCCATGGCACCAGAACCATAGGAAGACATACCACACGAGCAACGGAGCAGGAGCAAACGTCATTGTTGAACAAACTTTTTTTGTACTTACAAAATATCAATTATTCTTTGGTTACGTAAAACGGCTTGAACTATATACACAAAACGGAAGATTTACTGACTTTTGGAGAGGATGGAGCGCAATTCCGCGAGGTTTGTGAAGAGTGGTGTTGACGAGGGTGACCTTATTTCCTGCCCCTCTCCCGGAAACCATGGCAACGTGGGAATCAGCTCTGCTGTTGCCAACGGCATTAAGAGTGAAGTAGACGTTTCCAGTGGTCCAGTCGACGGCAATGTCCTCTATAATCCCCGTGTCTTCTTCGTGAATGATCTCAGATCCGTCGCCGTTTTGTTCGAACATGCACTGCCGTCTAATGCGAGACCTGCAAATTGTTACAATTCTCAAAAACAAAGAAAATGTAACTTGTTACATTATTTAAGACTTAGTTTTGAGTCATGAAATATGCTTATAGTTTAATACCTCCAAACGTTGTCCCCAGCTACACCAGATGGAGTTTTCATCTCAGCAAAGTATATATATCCCTCGCCCCGGGCAGTAAGCAAATAATCCACTGCATTCACACCATAACCGTCCAGGGAGTCGTATAGAGGGATATCCACGTATTCTCCACTTGGGTTATCGAGGGCTATACGACGGAGGGAGTTCTGTCCCGCAACAAGTAGAAACGTGTTTGGTACTGTGTTAAAAGATGAGGTAATGAAATGAGTCAGTTGGACGAGCACCCTGTGTTCCAGAGAACCAACTGAGCTACTGAGGCAGCTCAGCTGGCTGGGCTGAATCACTCACACAGAGCAAGGCAGAGCACTCTGTGTTCTAGAGAGGGCTCTACCAACTGAGCTACTGAGGCAGCTCAGCTGGCTGGGCTGAACACTCATACAGAGCAAGGCAGAGCACTCTGTGTTCTAGAGAGGGCTCTACCAACTGAGCTACTGAGGCAGCTCGGCTGGCTGGGCCGAATCACTCATACAGAGCAAGGCAGAGCACTCTGTGTTCTAGAGAGGGCTCTACCAACTGAGCTACTGAGGCAGCTCAGCTGGCTGGGCTGAATCACTCATACAGAGCAAGGCAGAGCTCTCTGTGTCCTAGGTACAATACCTTCAGGGCAGGATCCATCAGGCAAAGGTTCTATTCCGGTGGCACAAGCACAGGTTTGTTTGCTCGGGACATTTGGGTTGGGGAGACAGAGGTAGTCGCAGCGAGACGTGTTCAGACATCCTCCGATGTGTCCTAGTGAGTAAGGGGTTAAATAATTATTAGATGATTAGAAAAAAATTTTATTGCCCACAAAACCAAACCTGTGAAGGAAAACCTCACTAATCAGGACACTTTCTTCAGAGATCAGGACACCTCACTAATCAGGACACTTTCTTCTGAGATCAGGACACCTCACTAATCAGGACACTTTCTTCTGAGATCAGGACACCTCACTAATCAGGACATTTTCCTCTGAGATCAGGACACCTCACTAATCAGGACACTTTCTTCTGAGATCAGGACACCTCACTAATCAGGACACTTTCTTCTGAAATCAGGACACCTCACTAATCGGGACACTTTGATTATGACATCTCACTAATTAGGACGCCTTGCAATCAGGACATTTTCATGAATTTCCTAACTTCTCTCACCTTTTCTAGTCTCAACGATCTTGATATCTGACAAGTAATTAAAGCCCTCCATATACACGCTTTTATCCATCAAAATTGTAGTGCTTTTGTATATTTTTCTCAGCCCAGAGTCAGTGAAAAATACGTGTCCTCCAAAAAAGGCAACGCCGTGTACTACTGATCCGATATCCGACGGACCAAAACCTGCAAAAAAAAAGAAATGTCCATGTTAAAATCAAAAATATTTTTTCGCACTTAGTGTAATATGAACTCACTATGAATAAATAATAGTTTGACAGGGATTCTGTGCTGAGACCCTGCATTGTAGTGCAGCGGGGACGCTATGTAAAGGGCCCGAGAGTGCTTCTAACATGTGCAGATTTCAACGGACGAAATGCCCAACTTATTTAGTACATACTCCAATTGACGCACGCTTGCTTTGTTTTTCTGCGTGCACTGGTTGCGCGGGGAAACGGCACCACGGGCACTTAGTAAACACGATGCGAGTTAGTACGAGATTTAGACACACGTTTTCACGCGTTAGCGCGTGCTAAATAATAGTTAGACAGTGAGTCCGTGAAATCTACGCGATTTATAAGGCCGAGGGCCCTGGGCTGTAGCGTCCGAGCGTAGCGAGGACGCTACTAAGGGCCCGAGGCCTTCTAAATCGGGTAGATTTCATTGGACGAGCCTGCCTAACTTATTTAGAGCGGGCGCAGGCTCTGCGCGCCCTTAGCAACCAAAAACGCGATGTTTTGCGAAGACATCATGGAGTGGTTGGAAGACTCGCAAGAAGACAGCCACAACGCAATAAACCGCATACTGCTAGAGGCAAGTGACAGCTACGAAACTGACGCTACGGCTCAGCCACCACCGCCGTCTAACGACGAGCATGCGCATGTGCACGGGACCAGCTACGCCGCTTCTCCTCCTTTCCCTGTATTACTATGTTGAACTCTGCGCGTGGTTTTCTAATTAACGCACACCTACTATATGCGCGCGCACAAAAAAACGCCCCGGGCACTTAGAATACACGAAAACGTGAAATCTACTAGATTTAGAAGACACGAAATTCAGCGTGAGTGAGCTCTAAGGGACAACTAGTGGGGATGTTGAATTTGGCTTTATTCATACTGTACTTGTGCAATGTGCCAGGGGTGCATAGCACAGAGGAATACACACACGCATACACGTCATACAGTTTACAGCTCACCAGCGATGGCTCGTGGTTCCTCTCCAAGCAAAGAGGCACAGTAAACCATGTTAGTCCCTACATCGGTCCAGTATATCAGACCGTCCACTCCGTCGCCATTGTCAACGGCGATGTACAACGGGTGGTTGAGTGGGTGGCCTGTTACTATGGCTTCGGGGGAAGAGCCGTCCATGGCAGCAGAGTATATCTTAGGTGACTCTTCTCTATCTATGGCGCCAGTATCGATGTAAAACATCGTCCTGTATTGAAATTGAAAGTGAAACTTAGCATATTTATGCATGAAGGTTAGGTGGAGTTTGTCAGTAAGGGATATCACCAGTACTGGTGTAGAAGAGTGTCCTGCATTGAAATTGAAAGTGACTTAAGCACAGGTTAGGGGGAGTTTGCCAGTAAGGCGTAGAACAGTGTTCTTCATTGAAATTGAGAATGGGATGCATATCTGAACACATATTATACAAGGTAAAAATGTTTAAGGGAGGGGAAAAAATAAAACCTCATTCTAAACAAACGTGAAAATTGAACTTGTCGTGCTTGCTCGCCAATTAATGCGGGCATTGGTTACAGTATTACTACATCATACAGTGATACGGGGTCCAATGCCAGGCCAGTCGGGACTAACAAGTCCGTCATGAAGAACCCTCCTTCTGCGACCGTCAGTGCTGGCCACTTCCAACCTATTCTCGTAAGAATCGACGAAATAGACGTTCTGAGTTGCATAGTCGACTTCCAGAGAGGTAATAGCTGTTGGGTGTTCGTCTAGAATGGAGGTTTGATTTTCACCTTCAGTGACAGAGGGAGGAGGGAGGGAGGGAGGGAGGGAGAAAAGGTAATGATACAGTCAATTTGACAGTACAGAAGACTGTTACAAAACAATTATTATCATACAGCGTCAGCACAAATATTTTTCATGGTCTCATATTTTTAACGCCAAACCTGTCAAATTGACTCTGTGTATTCCGAAAGTGTCCAGAGTGGCGTAGTAGATGACTCCGTTGATAGGATCCATGGCAACGGACGTGATAGTCTGTGCGGCTACGTCAACCGGCACCACAACGTCTGCGCAGAGCAAAATTCAAGAAATTGTCCATTATACTAGGGTACATATGTACACAAGAGTAAAAAACTAAAGCCTGCTTACGGCGTATAAGAGGTAACTCACCACTATTTTTATGGGTTGGATTACGCAATTTTAGGCTTTATTTTAATGCCTTGTATCATGCAATTCAACCGTGAGTACAAATATCACTCTCAAAAAAGAAGAAAAAATAATAAGTTTCTCTGTTGTGTTTTGTTTGTTTTACTTGTCTGCGTCAAAAAAAAAGAAATGTATGTGTACAAGTATTAGACCTTCACCTGCTAAAAATTGTAGTTGGTTACTAACCTGCTGTATAATCATCGACATCTTGTGATACGAAATGGATGGCATTGGCAGTCGGAAACAGCATGGTTGTATTGATTTCTATAGAACAGAGAAAATAGACGTAGACTCATCTCAAGAAAAGCAGAGCACTCTGTGTTCTAGAGAGGGCTCTACCAACTGAGCTACTGAGGCAGCTCAGCTGGCTGGGCTGAATCACTCATACAGAGCAAGGCAGAGCACTCTGTGTTCTAGAGAGGGCTCTACCAACTGAGCTACTGAGGCAGCTCAGTTGGCTGGGCTGAATCACTCATACAGAGCAAGGCAGAGCACTCTGTGTTCTAGAGATGGCTCTACCAACTGAGCTACTGAGGCAGCTCTGTCTTTACCTGTAGCACAGGTCTTCCCATCTTCCAAAAGAGGAAACCCTACTTCACAGAGACAACCAGCTTTAACTCCACCACTTGAGATCCTAGCCCTCGACACACAAATATCGCTGCAATCGCCGTTGTTACGTTTACATGGAGTATAAGCTGGAGAAAGAGAGAGAAAGTTAATAATAATGACATGCATCATGTCTCAACAACTTGGTAATGAGGTAGAATGGCAAGGCCAGGCAAACAAGTCAACTACACCCATGAAAAAGAAGAAAAAAAGAAAAGATATACCATCAAACAAGTCAACTACACCCAGGACAGAAAGAGAAAAAAAGAGAAGAAAAAAGAAACTGCATAACATCAAACAAGTCAACTACACCCAGGACAGAAAGAGAAAAAAAGAGAAGAAAAAATAAACTGCATAATATCAAACAAGTCAACTACACCCAGGACAGAAAGAGAAAAAAAGAGAAGAAAAGAAAGAAAAAAGAAAAGAACTATATACCATCATGATTTCTGTTCCTGTGGAAAACGGTGACATCTCTGGACTGGATCAACTCTCTAACCATTACTTCTGTTCCCCAAATTTGTGGCATTGACATGACCCCCATGAGTTATGTCCCTCCAATTCGTCAAATATGAGTCTCGCACACACACAGTATGGACGGCACAGAAATCCACGTAACAGACGGCTGATAGTGAGGTTTTTTCGAACGTTTTGTCAATTCACGACGTCACCACAGGTTGCTAGCGGTC